AATTATTATTATTATAATATTGTAATATCATTTGGTCAAACAACAATAAGATTCAATACATAATTTAATGAGTTTTATTTTTTGGAAGGTCCAAACTTAGAGAACATATTTTATGCCTTATCATTAGATCTATAACAATACAATCAATTTTTTTATAATTTAATTTGGTATTTATTTATTTACATCTTTTTATGCATATAGTTTCAGAAATCTAATGAATACCAAAAAAAGAAAAAGAAAATATACACTTATACGAAATTATACCTGAATATGATATAATTACCAAATAACTATTTCAAATTATGAGAGGCTTGGGATGCAGAAGAAAATGAGTTTTAGGAGAGGTGTTGATAGGAGGTAAGATCCTCTTGTCTTATCTCAATTTCTATACTTGAAGACTAGAAGCGTTAAAATAGGATTCATAGCAATACTCAATTTTATCTACTTTATCCATAACGATACTTTAGTTGAAAATCACATAATTAATTTACTCATGTATTTCTTCTCCACGTGGTTGTATCAATTACAAAAAAACCTGTAAAATTATATAAGTAAATTAATGATGTTGATGGTCATTACTAGGTTCATTAATAGAGCATTCAATTCTAGACATAATAATAATTTCATTCCTCAACATATTCAAATCAAAAATCAATGTTTTTATTTATTTATTTGTTTATTTTTTGTATAGAAAAATGTGAGAAGCCACACCCTAATCCAACAGACCATTCCAAGTCAATGCTGTGGGATGGTCATGCGTTACCTGGTACCCCAGGGGCAATGAATTAATTCACAACAGAAGATGCCCTAATCTGGGGGTGAGATACCTGGAGAAATGGACACAGACGGAGGACCCATTTGCAGTTGGAATCCACTTCCAGAACTGTCATCTGGATCAGTCATCTATCTGACCTGATCAGTCTCAACAAATACTGGGAGGGAGGAGGGTACCCCCACCCCAACCCCCACCCCACAGAAGCCTAGAGATAGACATAGACCCCACAGAAGGATGACACATGCTTTAAAGTGATTGCAGTAGAAGAGGGGGACAGAGAGCCTATGATTGAGCCAATTGCATTTGCACGTCATGACCCCCCCCTGGATGTGATAATCTATTCATCTATCCCAATTCATCCATACATTACGCAGCTTCTCCACTCCTGGTCCCTTTTGGGGAGCCTCATGGAGGGGGTGCCTCTAGGCTTTTATGAACACAAGCAAATAACGATTGACAATTGGTGAATTCAGGCATAAGTGGATAGATGAATGAATGAGTGACTCGTTCCAATAGAGAGGCCACAAATTTTGAAGGCTTGTTCCACATGAAATTTGTGACTGCACCAACATTTTTCTCATGTGCCATCGTGATTTCCCATTGCGCATGATAAAAGGTGGAAAAGGGGGCTAGAATGGGTTTATTTAATTTTAAATAAAAAAAAAGAAAGAAGAAGTAGACAAAATCACTATCGCCCGCCGTGTGGGGGCAATCAGCGTGGCAGATGACGTGTGCAGCGCCCGTCTCCCAGGCTGGACATTGTGAAACCGACAAGGCAATGCGGGCAGAGAGATCCGGTTCGCTGACGAATCCGCGCAGATTTTTCGCCCACGTGGCACCCCATTCAATACACACCCACCCCCCTGCCCTGTTCCACGGGTTGCTGATTACTCGTCCTGTAAAAAATTGCCACGTGGAGGATCACTAGACGACACTAAGCGGGGTGCTCTACCTACCTGGACCAGGGAGGGGGTTTATTGAGCCATTTATTGTGTTTGGGCCATGAAAGGGCTCCATGGCTTTCCGTCATGTTTGGAAGGCTGTCGGATGGATGTCGAAACATTATCACGGATGATCCCAAACAATATTCATTCATCCACCCTAGCGGGGCTAAATCGGTGGACCTCGGAACCCACCCGCCAAATTAGGGTTTTGAGAACATTCTGGGTATTTATTTATTTCTTTTTTGCCATCTGTTGTTATGGGGCAGATGCTTGACTCCTTCAGGTTTGTGGAGTTTATCTGTTATTCAAATGATCGGCAGCATTTGAATACTTAGCGCAGTATTCTAGTTTAGGAATTTTTTTGAAAAAAACATTTACTAGAGGAAATAAATTTTTGAGGTGGTTCAAAGGGTTTTGTTAAACAAATTGTGGGTTATATTCAGCTACTTGCAGGGTGCTGATGGGAACACTTTCATGTACCCCCGGTTTTTCTTATTTCCTCATAAAAAGTAACTTTAAAAGGTTCATTTGAATTGGTTTAATTTTTATTGTCGAATTTGGGGTCACATTCTTGTGTCGATATTCTGAGATGAATTTGGAGTTCCTTGCAATCCAATAAAGTTGACAACATTGTGTAATATGTATTGAACATATGATTAAGTGTCAATAAAAAAAATAAAGCGTGAACTTTTTACATGCTTATTGTATCTGTATAATGTTCAAAAAAATCAAAAACTATTTAAGAATTAAATGTCTTTAACTACTAAAACATATGTTTTGTAATTAAATTAATTAATCAAAAATGTATTTAATTTTTTTGAAAAATGATATCGAGCAAGTAACATTGATGACTACATATTCAAAATTTGGCTTTGAAATTTAGTTGTGCTAAATAATTGATATGAATAAAAAAAATATTTAAAAAGATTAAATTAGTGAAATATAATTAATTTAATATATATTTGATTTGATCTCTAAATAAATTCAATCCAATTTACTTCAAAACAAAGAGTGTATTGTTGAATGAAATTTTTGTTGAATTTCATTCAAATCTCAATGTATATAATATTTGAATAAATAACCATTGTTTATATGAATATTTTAAAATGATTAAGTATATAAATATATAATATAAATAAGATTTGGTAACTTTGAAAATCAATTGAAGTGACTATTTTTCTTTACAATCATATATATATATATATATATATATGTATAGATAGATAGATAGATAGATAGATAGAGATAGAGAGAGAGATGAATTAAAATTAAGCGTGATTAATAATATCTTGTGCAATTGTAGAAGTATTTTTTAAATGCAAGTTGGATCTACAATTGTTTTTTAAGTGCACCATGGAAACCATACTATCTTTAAGTGACTATAGAAACTACTTCTAGTTTTTAAAACTTAAGGAGTTACTACAGAAGCATTCCACAACTCAAATTTTTGTCTAATGAGAAATGTGGTTATTAGGAAGCTTCTACATGATATTAATTAATATACATAAATGCAAGATTGAAGTTGTCTATAATTTTGTCAATGCATCTATTTAACTGAAGTCATTTTTTAAGAATGTTTGATATTTTGTACGTAACAAATGCTATTATAGTTGATATTACTTTATAAATGTAATTTTTGATTGAACTTTTTGTACTTAGCAATAATCAACTGTCATAGCTATTGACACATTTTAAGACATTGACAATGTTTTTTAAAAATTTAGCTTAATTTTAAGAATTAAAAAATATTTGACAAATGTAAACATTTTTTTTGGTAAAACATGTAATGTATTAGACAATAAGCTGTACAAAAAACTTTTGGTTATTTTTTATTCAGTTATTTATTTATTTTAAATAATTTAAAATCTAGCTAGTATAAAAATAAAAAAAATAAAAAAGATGTATGTATATATATATATATATCTATATATAGAAAGTATAAAAAAAACTATATGTTTTTTATTCTATAACTTAGAAATATTTAAACTTTTATTTATTTATTTATCTTTACCATATCCAAAAAAATATGCTACAAAAATCTTTTTCTTTTAAGTTTTTTTTCTATCTTATGTATAAGCAAGAGTATTAAAATAAACAATAATATATGAATATAAGATAAGTATAAATAAAACCTTAAAGAAAGAAAGAATACATCAATGTTATTCATTTGCTACAACAAGAACAAGGAACATTAGAAAGAAGCAGGAGTTAAATTCATGGATTTAATAAAGATTCTAAAAAAAGTTTTGCATAAAGATAGTGTGAAACCTATATACTCGAATATAGACATATACTTCTACCAATTGATGAATTGGTTTTTTGTCTTTTTTAAGAATCAAGGAGTATTACCATAAGATGATGGACCATAGATTTTTTTACAAAGAATAAAAACTTTGTGAAAAAGGTGGTAGCCAAGGTTTTATTAAAAATCGCAACTTTCTACAAATGGAAAAAATAATAATATTATCATTAATGAAACTCACAAGCCAAATGAAGAATACAGCTACATACAAAACACAAGAGCACTTGACATGATTGTTTTTTAATCAATGCACACTTTCACTGAAAATTTACATTCATTTTTCTAAAAAATTAACCATTATGGGATTGAACCACACATATCCATCCATTAAGATTTAACACCCTCCTCTCCCTTTGCCCACCATGGAATCAATTCATGTACACCATTGCCATCAATGCCTTCCAAATAAACACCCATATCTTAGTTGCTTGAGTTGATGAGCTTTGAGAAGCAAAATGCTTCTTTTATTTAATTTTAGGGTTTGAGGTTCAAGCTCAGAACTCATGGTGATGACCTCCATTCCCCACTTGAGAGTCTCTTTCTAGACCACAGTCGATGAGAGAAGGCATGGGATTCAAAGTCCATTCTAAGTCTTGAGCACAAGACGGTTTTGTTCGTAGGGAACGGAAGGGATTGTTAAGGCTATTATGTTTTATTTTGTATTTTTTTTACTCCAGTGCTTGTGTGTGTTTTTATTTATTTATTTATTTATTTATTTATTTTTGGTTTGTCTCTTTTAGCTTAGTCTGAGGTTTCCAGTCGTCCCTGATGCTTCAGTGGTCTATGCTGGTTGCATGGCCCTCGAGTGAGTTGGCAGAGATCTGTTCACAAGTCGTTGTTTCACGTTGTTCATCGAATTACTTCAATGAGTGGAACCTCCCATTCTTTTCACTTTGTCCTCTGCAGTCTCATTCCGAAAAATGAAGTTGTAGACTGTGAATGACGAGATTACCTTTCGATTCGTGATAAACCCCTTCAATATCAAAGATCGGAGCACAGCAGAGGAGCTACAGTAGTGATGCATTGAAAGGAGTTTGAAACAAGATTGGATATCATCAATCAAGACTACCACTTAGATACAAACTCGGCAATCACTATAAAATCTGTCAAAACAACCTAAGCCCTACAGCCGAAGGATTTCACTACACTAAAAAGAAAAATCATCCTCTCTGCAGACTAAATGCACTATATGCCAGCAGCACCTCGTCTTTCGGCTGGTCTCGACTTTCCTTTACCAGTGCCGAGATGCTGGGTAACAAAGATAACACCCATTACCAGAATGAGAACACCCACAAGTGTACTAAAAAGGATAGCTCCTGGTCTCCGGGCTTGTACAAAACCGTAGATACCATCATGAGTTACAAGGATGAGGTCATTCAGCCCGTCACCAGAAAAATCGGCATAGATTATAGGGGCTGATGCAGATGCTGGAAGAGGAAACTCCGTCACTGGACTGCCTTTAGGCGAGATAACCACACCTTCAATCTCTCCAATTGCAAGAATAGCTTCTGGTTCCCCATTCTTCCTCAGAGGCAACGCTGTCAAGCTAGGCACAACCCTGTCTGACTCATAGCCTTGCAACTCGGAGGACGTTGCCCAATAGGCTCCGGTCACAAGCTGCCATCGGTGTTCAGCCTCTTGGTCGCGTTTGGGGCCCAGTACAGAGAAAGAGGTAACCTGAAAGGATGGTTTCATAGATGTGGGATGCAGTGAAAAACATGGCAGAGAAGGCAAAGTAATTAATGTAGAATGACCAAATATTTCTTGCTCGTTGACTTAATTTTAAATAATATACCATAACTTGGGTCTATTGTAAAATTGTAAAATTGCAGATACAATGCGATCCTGTCAAAGGTCATAATACTTCGAAGAATTTCAACTAATACACCGCAGAACAGCAAATGGTTTAGAGGGGATCCTACCTCTCCACGGCTATTAAGGAAGATAATATCACCATGGCTCCCTTTGCGATGACGTTTGCCATCTGGGTGTGGCAGAATGATTGGTGCAAGCACTTCCACAAAATCTCCCATTTCTGGATTCAACCGCCTATCGATTTCACCTGAAAAATCAAAATGGGAATAGGCTTGGAAGGGAGAGTGTCTACAAACTGTGCCATTGAACAGTTGCTCCCTCACATGTACACCTGAAGTGGCAATCGCCCAGCATGGCTTAAGAGTCGTGGTCATCCCGGTTGGCACTAAGCGCGTTCCTCGGTGACCTCCGACAGCCTGCAAAGCGAAGCACATTCGCGCGAGACGTCATCAACAGTTCCTCTTTTGTAGTCATTGAAGATCTTGCAAAATAAAATCAACTAGGTATGTACTAAAATAGATTGGATTGTTAGCACCAAATACTGTAGATCAAACAAACTGCGATCGGATATCAAATCACCTGGACGTGATCCAGAACCCCATCGCCGTTGATATCTGCATGAAGACCTCCTTCGGGTAGATACAGCTACAAAAATGCACCAATAATGCGTGATGTGAGAGGACAAAGTCGACGTGGTTTGAAAATTTCACTGACAGAAGAGACGCTTACGAAAGTACCCAGTTGAACTCGTCATATTTACGTTCATAAACTCAGAATAATATATGGCTAATACTTGGGACTCCAATGACACGCAGTCTTTGTCTGCATACAATAAAGTAAAGCTACTTTGATTATAACTTTCCTCTTTTTACCGTGAAGTATGGGCAAACACCGAGCTTAAACTCGACAATTCTATTTTAAATTTCTCAAGATTTTGAGGAGGTTAAATATCTTAAAAAGACCCACCAGTATGATTTCCGTTTATCTGCACCATCCTGACAATTCTATCCATTGATTACGTTTGCAAAAATTACCTTGCAGACAGTGCGGCCTGTAGCTAAATGTACAGCCTCGATTCCTTCCTTGAGATGAGCCACAATCACATTGGGCACCCACCAATGCGATGTGTGATTTGTTATCATTGGAACATGTTGAAATCGTTCCTGCACAAACCACTACTAGTGAATACGCATGCACCTTGATCAAAACATGGTACAATGCAAAGCAATCAAATAACTATCTGTCAGGAACAAAGAAATTGACATCAATCAAAAGCCAAGTGTTGGTGGAAACCTTTCTAACTTTCGGACCGACTGCGAGCTGGACAGCGTTGCCGACAACCTTTGTAATAGGATTAGAGAGTGATTCTTTGCCTGGAGTGTTTTTATCTGCAGGCTTTTGAGACGGAACATTTTTCTCCTTGCCGTGGATCCTCTTAACCAATTTACGATAATGCTTCTGAAAATGTGACAACTCGAACCTTGTATCCTCTCTATGTTCCTAATGATAAAAAAAACTCAACAAAATCAGATACATATTGCGTTTCATACAATCACCATCGAACAAGTCAAATGTAGCAAAATATGATGGCATCGAGGAGAAAATTACCCAACGATGCGGCATTACGCCCAGAACCGACTCACGGAATTCCCTGCATTCAACCTGCCAGAAAAAAATCGTCCGTTTCGTTTAGATCTGTGTTTTAAGGAAATCGCATGCATCGAAATGTAGGAAATGAGCTAACTTCGCTGTTTCTACGTAGAAAACTTAGTCATGCGTTGCTTTCCACCAGATAGTGACCTGAGAGTTTAACAAAAAAGACAGAGGAAACAAACCTCTCCAAGATGTCGAGTAGCAAGCGAGTTGGCATCCAACCTGTAATTATGTTGTGGTTGCAGTGTACCATTGCCGGGAGCACGTTGAAAATCCTACACAAGAAATATGATCCCCAAATTAAATATAGCTCTAAGACCTCACACGAATTGGCCACTAAAGTCAATAAAAACAACTTTGTTCTGATCTGTTCTTACAACGTCAATAAGCATCCAATCAATAATATAAGCTGGTCAAAGCGTCAAAATGAAGTAGAATATATAAAGAAGTAAATGGAGCGCACAGCCCTTTACTATAGTTTTGTTGTGATAATCTTTAAAAACTTGAACACGTTATTACAGAGATGATATAAAAGCCTCTCCTAAATTATTTGAAACATCGTCCTTGCCTCGCTTCGGTGAGTCCAACGACGGGCGCCAGTCATTCCAGCATATGCATAGTAAGAGAAATGACGCTCCTTTCCACCACCCATCTTCTCTGTTACATCCTCTCCCTCCTGTAACGAGACATAACCAGTAGGTACATAAACGACCAATACTGGAATTTTATCCGATATTCAAAGTTAAAGATAACAGATCCGAATGCTGCGTCATTTACTGCCAAGAGGTCCAGTGCACCCTACCTCTATTCCGACAGCTGAAACTTGGTGAACCTCAGTTGCTTTCTCTGCCAGCAATTCTTCTTCAAAAAGATCCAAATGCGCCTAACGTCCAAGCTTGCAATTTAGTAATATGACGAGGAGTAGTGAAGTAACACTCTCTAACTGCCACAGTTTCTGCATCATGTAGTACGTAAAAGCTGGACAAGATGTTGATTGATCATAAATGAACTCAAATTGAAAGATGGTACCTGAGGCTGAACCTCCATACTTCCCCCCACAATGACTAGTCCGGTGTCTCCATGCTTCAAGGTATAATTGCTTATTGAAATGGCTACTTCTTTGTGGTGAGAACCATGTGGGAAGTCATCCTGTCAAACAAAACATCAGCTACTATAAGGGCGTAGGTGCAATTGACATTGCAGACAGTACCTGTTACCGATGTCGAAGAGTTTAATTGGTGCACTGCAAGACGACGCCCGCATCGTAAAAAGTTATGGTAGAAAAACAAATTGAAAATACAAGAAAACGAGGTATATTAACAAGTGCAAACCTGAACATCATCTTCCCATATTTTCTTCAGATTGTGGTCAAAGCACATGATGTTCCAGCCAGCAGTTACGACCACAATCACCTGCTTCTTCCGCTCCAGGGATCTATAGGTTCGTTTTACCTCGCCTGCCGCTAATGCAACGGGTCTCCTTCCCGCACCCACTCGCACTCGATCTGGCAGAAGAGAAACCTCCGCCAACACTCGAGCTTCCGCAAATCCATCAGAGGCAAACGACACCCGCGGATCGATAACCTACTCCAACAGATTTCGATGGTTTAACAACAGACGAAGATTTCTCCTCTAGACCCTTTCTAAAACATATAAAATCGACACACATACACACAAACAAACAAACAAAAAAAAAAGAAAAAAAGAATCTAGCATTAATGCGGTACACTACAATATTTGAAACCCACGCAATTCAAAGACAAAATGATCGATACCTATTTAGTGAGAAATCGTTACCAAATAAAACAACGTAGCATCCATCAGTCGAACACTGAAACGTGACCACGTGTCTTCAGCAATAAATTTACCTGAAGTTTGTCCTCCAAGGCAACAACAACCTCAACGTGGCCATCTCCATTCAGATCAGCTACAACTGGCGGTGGCAATCGCTCGGCTACATGCTGTATAGGTGAACCATCCTTGTAATGCACCCATGCTTGTCGAAACGAAAGACTCCCTTCATGCTGCTCAACATCCACCACAGTTTTGTGAATACACATAGATACTCACCACATTTTGCCCCTGCATCTCAGTATATTCGAGCAATTATGTTGTGTCTTGGTTCATGATTGAAAGCTTCAGTTCCTGATTGCCAGGGACTCCCGAATTTGAAACAAGATCACTACTACCTAGCACTAGTAAGTGATGACATCACCGTAAAAAAATTTAGAGGGAAAAACAAGATACGCGGCAAAAATAGTTACACAGCAAAGCTGTGCGGATCAACCAAAACTATAGAAATTTTATATTCGTGCAGATGTGAATGCATGACAATAGTTATCAGCAGGGCAGCTGAACCTCAAATATGTACAAAGATTGCACAAATTTAGCCCTTCTCAGCCACCTGCTTAATGCTCCTAAGCATACAGATAATGCGATTCTGTTTACATCCTCCTCACACCTGAATTTTCATGATACTTAGAGACCCTAATTCTTAAATTCCATTCCTAGCAACCTTGAAGGAGAGTCACGGTGAGGAGGCGAGAAAGTGAATATGGTAACATGATTCATTTATTTAAAATCGTATGTTCTCCACAACTCAATGCCCTTAATGCGCTGCAGCGGTATGCGTCGTCAAAGAGAGAGCTTCTGACCCAATCACTCTTCTCCACCAAAAACCCATACTCTGAAAAAAAATAAAAAAATAAAAATAAAAATAAAATCTCTAAATGCAAACATCGCATCAGCACCGTGGTGATAAAGACCTTCAGTGGGTAACGACGCCACACACCTGGAGCGAGAAGAAAATGGCCAACGCGGACAGCAACAAAATTCCCAAGTCGCGCTTCCTCATGATAACAGCAACTGCATTCACTCCTCTACTCCCATCAATACTTCATCCGCATCGCCATAGTAATCCGCGATCGTCCGTCCAAGTTGAGAAACAACACACTGAAACACCAGAAACCTCAAAATCCTCAAAACCCCGCGAACCCTACTGGCTCAATGCAGAGATTCCAACTCCGGACTGTTCTAAAAAAAAAACAGCAGCTGTTGTAAGCAAGAGATATCAACACAGTGGTTTGTTTCGATCAGCTCGCAAGCGTCCCGTCCTGTAATTAGCTCGCGATGACTAGGCCTGTCGAGGAGCATCACCCTTGCTCGACGACGTGGGCGCACATTTGCTGCTTTGCTCTTGCTGCCTCAGCGCGGTGTGGGAATAAGCCATCGCCTTCCGCGCGTTTGCGTGCACAGATCCCAAGGCCGTGGTACTCGATGACCATGGCGGTATCTGTCGCCGCGCGATCTCGGGGGGTATTTTGTATGGACGTGGTGCTCTATGACCATGGGGGTATGTATCGCCGCGCTGGAGATGATAACTAGAGTTTGGCTTTGGGTCTATAATGGTTGACTAAACTTTTTAAAATGATAGAAGTTTTAGAAGTAGCATCTTGAAAGGGCGTGATTTTTGTGAAAGTGTTAATATATTTAATCTTTTTGAATATATATATATATATATATATATATATAATCAAAATTGAAACCTTACAAAAAAGACAAGGCAGTAAAGAAAATTAAGTCAATATAAACAGACGAAAATAGTAGAATATTTGCATTTTATTTGTATAAATAATTTAAAAAATACTATTATATATATATATATATATATATATATATATATATGTGTGTGTGTGTGTGTGTGTGTGTATGTGTATGAATGCAAATAAATATTTAAAAAATAAAATAAAACTTATATATTTGGAAAATTAAAAAAAAATAATTTTGTGTCCATTTCTTTTATATAAAACACAAAAAAAACCAAAGAAGTAGAAAATAAAGCTGAAAAAATTGGCACAAAGATTTTTGATATACAATAGTCAAGTTTGAATAGAGTTACAAATTGAAAGACTTATGAAAGACTTCTACTTGGTGGAAAAGTATTATTCTTTGAATATTTTTAGCTTTAAAAAATAATACATAATAAGAAACTATGATATCAAATAATAATAATAATAATTATAATTATAAAAATAGAAACTCAAATATTGATTATGAAATTTGAGAAAAAAACTTAAAAAATAATTAATTAATATTAAAGAAACGTTTTATAAAAATTCTTAAATAATTTAGAATTAATTGTTTTAGAAACGAGTCTAATAAAAATTTTAAAGAAAATAATATTTATATTATGTAAGAAAATAATAAATTTTACCTCTTATTTTTTCCTTGTAATCTCTTAATTGATTTGTTTCATTATAAAGTTAACAAAGAGAGGCTTTTTAAATTCAACTAATTATAAGTGAAGAAAGTTGAAGCTTCTTGTATTTTCTTCTAATTATAAATAATCATTTTTAAATGTAAAAAATATCAAATTTGAAAAAAAAAACTAACCAACATAGATATTAGTTCAAGGAAATAAATTCATAATATTATTCAATAAATAATTTAAATCTTAAATAAAAAGAAATTATTTTCAAAAAGTCTTATACTTAAAGAAATGATACTAGAATAGTATAGTCTATAAAAATGATTAGAATTCCTTCTTTATTTTAAATATATATTTTTACCTAATATTAAATATATATTTAATTATTTCTTAAATAATATGATTTTAGATGTATATTGCAAACCAGTGAAAATTAATAATTATTGTAGTAGGTACAAAATTTGATTTACAAAAAATCAAGCATTAGGTCAAAAGTTAAATATTTAAAACATCTTAATATCATAAAACTCTCTATCTTCAATGAAAAAAATTTCTATGATACCAAAAAATCATTTACTACTGAGCTTTTTATATAAAAAATATTTCATTGTTTGGATGTAATAATGATACAATACTATACTATAATTATGATAGGTATTAGTAATTTTTTAAATATTTTGAATAAAATAAAGACTAAATTTTATTTATTTATTACAACAACTTTATATAATAATCTCAAACAAATATTAATTTAAATTCTTAAAATATAAAAAATTAAAGTACATATATTATCATTATGTCTTTTTAAAGATATTATAGTATTAAAAACTATAAATTTTTTTATGTTAAAAATATATTTTTTTATTTCTTATAAACTAATTATTATAATTAATTTGAAAATAATAGTGATATTGGTGCCATATAATATCTTATTGTAATAAATTGGTCAAATATTGGATCTTCTAATCTTGTTTGCATAGATAATCTAAATATATTTTTATTTTTATTTATTTTTATTTTATTAAAATTGAAATGATTTTATAAATTATTTTTTAGTTTTTATTAATAAAACATAATTACTAGTATATAAAACATGTGCATCGTCACATCATATAGAAGATATATGTATTTTATTCTTATAAGATTTAACAAACCATAATTTCTCAATAACAAAATTTTAATAGGTAATAAGACCTTTTTCTTTTTTTTCTAGTTAATATTATTAATTTAGAAAAATAAGAATAAATTTTGAAAATAAAATCAGAAATCTTAAAAAATGGATGGTTTTAACTCAATCAATGACAAAATTTCATGTATAAATATGTAGTTATTTTTATTTTTTTATTTATCTATAAAAAACTTGAATACATAATAACATAATAGAAATAAATATTTTATGAAGTATTTATAAAAATATTTATTATAGATATTATGAAAAATTATTATTATCTTATTTTAAATAGATTTTTTTTAATAATTTTTTTAACACATGAATTTTTAGATTAATCCCTTAATATTTAATGTAATTAGTTTTGATCAAAACTTTATTACAATATAGAAGTTGGTAGCACAAATCTTTAATATTATTAAAATATTAGATGTTTCTATAATATTGAAGATGGCAAGCATATTTTTCATACAACTTCTTTATCGTGTTATAAGTAATATAAGTGAATGTAATTATGCGATCTAAGCAATATTATCAAGTAATATTCAAAAATTCTATGAACAAGTAGTTTTTAGCCAAATATAAATATCTAATAAATATTGTTGAGACCATACACTTTTTTTGCGGTAATTTTCAAATCAATATTGTGTTACTATTTTCATTATATTATTGCATATATATATATATATATATATACTAAAATAATATGCATATATAAATAAATAAAATTTATTTTTTTGATAAAACACCTATTCTTGTCTTACATGATTTAATGCAATTAAAACGAAAAATAAAAAAAAATCTCAAAATTTTGCTTAAAATATTACAAGAGTGTCATATTAATCTAGAAATACATAGTTTATTACAATTTTTATTTTTATCTAATAACTTACAAAAATATTGGTTGAAGTTATAAAATTAATACAAAGTCCTAAAAAGACTTGAATTAAGAATATAATAAAATTGATATTTTGATAAAGTAATTGATATCAATATTTTTTTTCTTATTACTAAAAAAAGTATATATACCACATCATATACCAATAAATTTAGTTAGTATTGAAAAAACTTTTTTTAAAAAAAGATACTATTTATCTAATATATTTTTATCTATTTATATTTATCTTATTTATATAATATAAATGTTTATGACAATTAATTGTAGTTTTAAAAAATAGCTTATTTAGTGTATTGAATTTCAAAAATTAAAAATATATTATTATCAGTAGATTAAGATATATTTGGATTTTTTCATTAGTAGATAATTTATTTTAATATATTTAGAAAAGATAATAAGATTAAAGATATAATGTTTTTCTAAAAAAATATATTTAAAAAAAATTTACTAGTATATTTTATTAGTATTTTATCCACTACTTTAATAATAAATTAAATTTTACTAGTCTCTTTTATTAATATTTTATGTTGTACTTTACTAATATCTAAAAGATAGAAAGAAACTTATTGTTTAAGATAGTGATGGAACATTAGAAGAATAAAAAATTTGTTTATATATATATATATAATATGTTGCAACTTAAAAGTTTTGATTTGATATCCAAAAAGTTAATATGATATAATTGTAGGAAAAAAAATGGTCATCGTTCTAATCATGTGTTGTCTAATAGCAACACAAAAGAGCCTTCAATTTAAGGATTTCTATATAAGCAACTTAGATATTATTTATGTATACACATACACACATATATATATATCATGCAGACTACTAGAATGGCAAGTATTTGAGGCATATACTTGATTACATGTACATTGTTGGAATCTCATTTTGAAGTACCTTCATCCTTGTATTGTTACATATTCATTCCAATTTTGATAATTCTATTTACATGCTAAGCTATTCATGACTACTTCTTATTAGATCTTAGTCAATCAAGCACTAATATATTAGCTAATTATCTAAGGCATACATGTTTAGTACTATGTAGTTTCTTTGGTGGAGATGCCGAGTAGAGTTTCATGGAACAAAACATATGTAGATAGAATGTCCATGATAGTGCAAGCATGATGGCAAAACATGAAGAAGGACAATTTGCTAAGCCAGCAATTGTGAGAAATATTGAACCATACATGGGATTAAGAACAGCTTCTAGCTTAAAAAATTAAATGGCTTAAGATTGCAAGATAAGAAATTCGTAACATGTTGCCTCACAACCTTGATAGCAATTTGATACTATTAGCCTACAAGCATCTTCAAACGTAAGGGACATCCTCGTCTAACTTAAGATATTAATGCATGTTAGATCCTATACTAAAATTTATATTAGTCAAAGCTTTTTAAAAAAGAAACACCAATATTAGGCATCTTTAATAGTATCTTTAATCCAAGTCATTTGAGATGTTTTTTTTGGCCCTAATATGATTAATCTCTTTTCCATCCAAGGCTTTGAATGACACTACTATCATTGATGTTTTTATATATTATCAATTAGAGTCATAAAATCAATCTTTTAATAGAAGTGTAATATTACACTTATTTAACAAATTCCATTATTATCAACTTTAACAAATTTATGACTTGCAACCTTCACACAATAGACATCTATCTATATTCTTATAACTTTAAAGGTATGTTAATTTGGTCAACTTCTATGTATGATAAAGCAACTTGCACATTATTCTAAGGACTCTTGATTCGTTATAGTCTATTTATTGAGATATAGGTTATGATAATCTACATGCATTTTTTTTGTACAATATTTTACTTGCTTTTAGGAAGAAAAAAATAATTTTTATGTCATGGCCTTGTAAAGAATAAAAAGAGAATTCTCAAAGCATTGTTTAGCCTTGTTCTCCACACTTTATCAT